CCCCTCCCACCCGCTCTTCTCATTTCTCTTATTTTTTAGATTGTTTTATGAGCCTAATTATGCTTAAATATGGCAACAAAAGCTACACCCACATGAGGACACTGGCACATGATACTTACATCTCACACTTACGCATATTCTCATGCTCGCTGTCCCCCTCAGCACTATATATGAGGGTTATAACAATAGATAGCATTTGTATGTAAAGCACTAATTCCTGTTCAACGGCAAGCTCTATGCACTTTACAATCTATATGTCACGACACAAAGGAACCAGGCTCTCATCCATTATTGGGCAGGTTGCGTCATTGGTATCATCTGAAAGCTTTTTCATTTGTGTTGCATCTGATAGAAGAATAACCATGTATCTTGATTGCAAGCCGAGATATATATGCGGCCGAAGGGGGTGGGGGTCGCCTGATTTTAGTGGTAAAATTACCAAGAAAATGGCCTTTAAAGTTTGGTAACTTCCATAGCTTGAGAGTTTTTGGAAACTGAAAATTTTACACTTTTTTTTGCCTTTAATCAACGTTTTTCAGCAAAATTCGCTCTTCAATATGTTTAAACTAACATAAAAATGTGTTTAGCGAAAAAACAAAAAGTTGATAGAAATTGCCAAAACCGGCAGAAAAATGCCTGTTTCTCAAATTTCATTATTTTGATGAGCGCCTGATTTCACCGCGATGCCTCAAATAATAATATTTGCCGATGTGCTTCCTTCTCCTCTATACTCACATTCGACCACCTTTCCACGAACAAACAGAGCCTGGCGGCCAAGATCACGGGCATGTTGCTGGAGCTGTCCCCCTCCCAGCTGGTCCTGCTACTGACCTCTGACCTGGCGCTGCGACACCGAGTGGACGACGCCGTGGAGATCATCTCCTCTCACGGAAGGTAAAGAAAGGGGTTTACGTCTGTCTGGGGGAGCCAATGACTGTGCTTGTGTTCCAGACTGCTGTTACTAATAATAAAAGCTTTCCTTGTGTATGTGTGTGCCTGTCTATACCATCAAGAACTTGTTCATTTATCTTCTTTCTTTCTCTACCCATAAAGACTTTTTGCATATAACAGACTTTGTTTGTGTGGGTGGTTGGCGGGTGCTCTGGTGTGGTTTGCTCCTTCTTTCCAATAAAAATCTATCATCTTCATCTCCCCTCCTTCTTTTTTTGTGTTTGTTACTGTCTTGTAACACCTCTATCTCTTCGGCACTTACATGACCTGATTGTGTTGCAAGTGCCGTAAAACTCTCACTAAAACTAAAGTCTTTGTTTTGCAGACTGCTGTTTCTCATTTTTATAAAACAAACTATCCTTGTGTATGTTTGTGTGCCTGTCTGTACCAATAACAACTTGTTCATTCAGCATCTTTCTTTCTGTACGCATATAGACTTTTTGTATATAACAGACTGTTACTGTGGGTGGTTGGCGGGTGCTCTGGTGTGGTTTGCTTCTTCTTTCCTATCAAACGTCTGTCGTCTTTATCTGCCCTCCTTTTTTATGATGTTTGTTACTCTCTTGTAACACCTCTAATCTTCGGCACTTATTTTGTTTTACTAAAAAAAAAAGACTATTACTGATAAAAACTTTGCTTGTGTGTGTGTGTGCGCGCATGCACAGGAGCCTGTCTATACCAATAAGAACTTGCTCATTTAGCCTCTTTCTTTCTCTACCCATAAAGACTTTTTGCGTATAACAGACTGTAACTTGTGTGTGTGTGTGTGTGTGCGCATGCGCCTGTCAGTACCAATAAGAACATGCTCATTTAGCTTCTTTCTTTCTCTTCGGATAAAGACTTTGTGCGTGTAACAAAACACAGTTACTGATAAAATCTTGTTTGTGTGTGTGCCTGTCTACACTGATGAGGACTTTCCTCATTTAATAATTTCTTTCTTTCAATACTCATAAAGTTATTTGTCTTGTTCTAGACTGACCATGACTTCGTTTATGTATTATGTATATTTTTTTTTTTTTGCCTCACAGGGAAATGAGCTCGGATAGTTTCCTGGATCTGGATATCTTCAACCTGTCTACGGATAAGTCTAAGACTCCGCCCTCTAACACGTCAGGGGGTGGGGCTAGCGGAGCTGCAGGCCTGGGCTCGGACTTTGCCCTGGATGAGGACATAGAGGACAACGCCCCTCTCTTCTGGCAGCCGGGCAAGCGGGGCTACTACACCCCACGCATCGGCAAAGCTTCCCCGGAGAGGCTTAACGCATTTAGAAATATCGGCAGGTACGCTGGGTCTCGTTTGTTTGGTGTGGATGGTTATTGTATTGTCTTACACATTCAAGCACACACAGACTTGCCAACCTGTGAGCAATTGTGCATTCTAGTTCGCAAAACTGTCAGCAATACACAAATACGCGCCAAAACGATCAAATGCGCTTCTTTTGATTTTCCGAAAAACATCGCATTTCCTCAAAACCCACTGTCAAGCCCTACTCAGTTCATAAAACTTGTCCCAAGTCTCTACCTCTTTTTGTGGAAGGCCTGGAATTTGTCGGTGTTGCCCGATTCCGCATAATGCGAGTACTCATCTTGAGAAGAATGCGCGAGCAATTGCAGACACCTCTTATTTTTTTCCATCAAGTATCGGGATCTGAAATTGATTAGCCTTCAATTATAGAATTTTGTTTGCGTTCAGACCTTTGTTCGGGCTATGTTTCAAAATACGCATTTCATTTTCAAAATAAGCGAAGTCATGATTCCCCGGCTTGAAAAATAAGCAAAGTGAATTTGTGTGGTTTGTAAGTCCGCACACACACAAAAACACATTCACACACACAGGTGGGTGGATGGAGGGTGCTCTGGTGTTGTTTGCTCCTTCTTTCCTATCAGACATTTATTGTCCTTATCTCTCCTTTTTCTTTTTTGTATTTGTTTCTCCTCTAATCTTCAGCACTTAAATAAGCTTATTGTGTTTTCAAGTGCAGTAAAACTATTACTAAGACTAAGATTAAAACATTTGCACAGGTAAATACTCTGTTATACAAGCCGTAAACCTCATCAGGGATATTGCAGCTGTCCCCCCCCCCCCCCCCCCCCCGAACAGGTGACCAGACAAATGCCATGGCTCAGTATATAATAAGATACTGCACTACAAGTGTGATGTGATTGAGAAGAGGACATTTTTGTATAAAAAATGTATGCATGCTCTTTTTTGTGAATGAAATTTAAAAGAAAAAAGATATAAAGACTTTGAAACAGTATTATGGAAATATGACTCACCATTCAAAAGTGTAGTATAAGAAAATGATGGCATTGAAGTTTTAGACAAAATGGGCTGAATTGGCACACACTGTCCAATCACTGAATAGACAATCAGGCGTCGTAGACACCATTGATGTATTCATTATCACAAACACATCTTGAATAATACATTGTTACAAATAGCATAATTGTTTAACTCTTTTTATCCTAGCCGTACCCCCACGGACTCTGTACCCGTCCTGGGGCTGCCGCGCCGTATGAGTCGGAAGTCAGTGCGTATAGTTCAAAGTGCTATATTTCTTACATTTACTCTAAGGTTTTAAGGAAATTTGGCAGTTATGTTAGAAATTGAATGTTGTTTTTGTAAATGTATGTGGTTAGGAAATACACCAATAGCACAATGTAGATTTTGAGGTGTATTCCACCCTCGAACTTGACCCTGATTGCCGCGCCCACGACGTCCCATTGGATTTTATAGATCTAGATCTAGCCCTGCCCATCGAGCACGAATTCCAGTACCGACCCCCCTTCACCATGATCGGAATCGCTATTAGATGAGTCAAAGTCCTGTTTCTTATCATCCAAAACGGAATTTACGGCATTTATTTCAGAGCCACTTTCATCAAATTAGTATCATTCCCCCTCACAACCCAGCGCCACTTCAAAAAGTACTTCGTCGGTCATGAATGTGCGTTTTCGAGACAACTTTCAAGCTTCTACACCCATCAAAAACAAAGAAACCACTGTTCATTGGAAAATTAAAATATTCAGGCAGAGCTAGCATCGCCGTATTTGCGCATTTTGGTAATTACAAGCAGAACTAGCTTCTTTGACGTGACCGTATCGCTGTTCCGAGAATACTCGTAACCCGGACTGGTCCTCGTTACGAGTATACTCGTAGCCCGGATAAAAAGAGTTAAGATTGTCAGTGTCTGATATGAAAAAAAATAATGCCTTCCTGATGGAATGCTGCTCCCCCCACTTAGCCCAGGTTTGCTGTTACAGGCAGGGGCAAAGCAGGCTGCTTCCTTTATGCCTCGTCTCCCCCCCCCCCCCACCCCTCGGCCCCGATTTTTTTCTGATCTTAGTACTTAGTGCCGATATTTGTAGGTTACGCTAAAATGTGTTGACATCGTGCTAATTATGTTTTAAGAAATATAAAACAAGGAAAAGGGGGAATTTTTTTTTTTTTTTAGTCGGTGATGTTGATGATGGTACCTTTATGTTCTAAATCGTGTCAATGGGAGTGTAAAACAATTTTATTCACTTTCATCATATAGCCTCTCACCTTTCTCTTTTCTCTCAAGTGATTTAATTTGGTTTCAGTAGATGCTAGAAAAATTGTACGTATCGTGTTTTCCTGACCTTGCCTTTCTCTGCCTGTCTGCCAGGATCATTGGCCTATGCCTGTTGCAAAACGAGATCTGCCCGCTGTTCTTCAACCGCCACGTTCTGAAGTGCATCCTGGGCCGTCGTCTGGGCTGGCACGACCTGGCCTTCTTCGACCCGGTGATGTACGAGTCGCTGCGCAGCCTAGTGGAGGATGCGGAGAGCAAGGACGCACAGCTCATCTACACGCTGGACCTCAACTTTTGTGTGGAGCTCTGTGCTGAGGAGGTACGTTGTTGCTTTTCTTCTTCTGTCCCGTGGTTGGGGCAACCTTGGGGGCACCACTGCTTCTGAATACCAGCTCTCGCCATTTATCTTTGTTCTCTGCTTTCCTCAGATTGTCGCCCACCGTCTTTCCTGTCCACTCTGTAATGCTGCTGTCAGTTGAAAGGGGGGGAAGAAGGGCGCTAGGGGGGAGTGTTTGATAAGGTTACCAACGGTAAAATGGGAAGTTAAATTCATACAATAAATCATGCATGTACCCATGCGCGCATGCACACACACGCACAAACACACACACAAAACACAAACACACACACACACACACAGTCACTCACTTACTTACTTGATGTTTGCCTATGATTCAACAATACATTGGGGTGTTTCCTTGAGTTCCGAGATATGAAAGCAATTCTAAACAATACTGATGCAGACGTTCTCTGTGTGAGTGAATAATGATAATAATAGTATTAATATTAATAATGATAATTGCGTTTATACAAAAATAAATAAATAAATTACACTTATATTGATTTGCAAAATGGCAATTTGGTTTACAATGGCAAATATGCATTCATGCATAAATACATAATAATTATAATTACATACATAAATACATACCATACATACATATATATTAAATACACAACATTATATTAATTTCATGCTTTACAGCATGCTTGCTCTATGTGCTTTTACAACTATTGACTCACAGAATTGTCTTTGTGGTTGGTGGGTGCTCTGGTGTGTTTTGCTCCTTCTTTCCTATCAAAGATGTATTTTCCTTCTCTCACCTGCTTTTTTGCGTTTGTTACTCTCCTGTAACATCTCTACTCTTTGGCTCTTACATGATTGCTGGTGCTGTAACTCTTCTGTAATACCTCTAATCTTTGATGCCTATATGACCTTATTGTGTTGCAAGTGCTGTAAAACTCTTACTAAAACTAATGTTGTCTGACTTGTGTCTGTGTTTGGCAGGGTGGAGAGCAGGTGGAGCTGATCCCGGACGGCGCAGAGGTGGAGGTGACGGCGCAGAACGTGCACAACTACGTGCGAAAGTACGCAGAGCACCGCATGATGGTCGTGGCAGAGAAAGCTTTGAAGGTGAGTGTGGGGACGATTTTTCTTTTTTCTTTTCTTTTCTTTTGTTTTCTTTTCTTTTATTTATGTTTTTTTGGGGTTTTTTTCTTGTTTTTTTTTACCCACTCTCTCTCTCTCTCTCTCTCTCTCTCTCTCTCTCTCTCTCTCTCTCTCTCTCTCTCTCTCTCTCTCTCTCTCTCTCTCTCCCCCTTTTTCCTTCTCTCTCTCTCTCTCTCTCTCTCTCTCTCTCTCTCTTTCTGTCTCTCTCCCTCCCTCTCCCTCTCCCTCCCTCTCTCACTCACTCACTCTCTCTTTCAATCACTCTTTCCTGATGGTGGGTTGTAGAGAGGGATTTTACAATCTTCTCCTTTTTCAAGTTATAGCGTTGGAAACCGACAGAGGTGATCGTGGTTTAGCGCTCATTTCTATGCTTGGATGCTCTGAAGCAACTGATATTTTCCTGTTCTTCTTCTTCTTCTATCCTGTGGTTAGGGCAACCGTTCGGGCACCACTGCATTGGAAAACCAGCTCTTGCCATCTATTTTTGTCCTCTGCTCTCCTCAGATTGTCACCCATCGTCTTTCCTGTCCACTCTGTAATGTTGTCCTCCCATCTCCTTGCTGCCTTCCTCTCTTTCTCTTTCCTTGTACAGTTCCTTGCAGGATTGTTTTGGCAAGTCCTGTGGATCTTGTGACATGCCCATACCATTTTAGTTTTCGTCTCTTCACTGTGGTCAGTAGATCTTCATATTGTCCCACTGCGTTGGTGATTCTGTTTCGTACTTCAGCATTTGAAACGTGGTCTTTGTACGAGATGTCAAGGAGTCTGCGGTAACATCTCATCTCTGTGGTCTGAATCTTTTTCTCTAATTCTGCTGTTAGTGTCCACGACTCGCAGGCGTATAAAAATATTGATGTTCCTGTTCTGAAGATGATCATATCTTTTGTGAAAATTTTTTCAGCTAACAACAAAAAATCTTCAGCTTTAAATACACATAATTTAGCGTAGACTACATTTGTACTACTTATAGTGCTTGCTGGCTCCTGATTTTTATACTGTAGATTGACCCCTGCAATTATTTTATTACGGAAAAATTGTCAGTTTGTTAGTGTTTGAGCACTTAATCAGCTGCTTGCACTGTATGCTTCCTGGGGAGTTGAGAATGTTTCTGAGTGTTCTGTGGTCTGCTTGGGTAATAATTTAGTGTAAAGCGCACAGAGCTTTCTGTCAAGCACCGATATGGGCTATACAAATGCTATTTATTGTTATTATTTTTTTTTTTAAAAGAGCTGGTCTAAGTTACGTGGTTAGAACATAATACTACCGATATGTTCATAAACCTTTGTGTGTGTGTGTTTCCCTGGCAGAACCTGCGTATGGGTGTGTTTGATGTGGTCCCCTCCAACTCCCTGGACGGGCTGACGGCCGAGGATCTGCGCCTGCTGCTCAACGGGGTCGGGGACATCAACGTGCAGACGCTCATCAGCTACACCTCCTTCAACGACGAGAGTGGTGAGTGTGCTCACTTTTGTGTGTGTGCACGCGTGTGCATCACCCCCCGGGCGATGCTACTGACTGAAGTGTCTTTAGGCCATTCCCAAAGGGGGAACATTAACATGTTTATTTGCACAGTAGAATTGTAAATGAGCTGATTCATCAATGCCATGCTCATGACTGTGCCTGAACTGCAACAGGGGACTGCTGCTTTTTTCTTTCTTAATCATTACTATCATCATTTTTTGTCTACTTCTTTTTTTTACGTTTGTCACACTCTTGTGACCCGCTATTTGCTGGGTGCCTTGATGGTCGAAGCAGACTTTGTGCTGTTGAGGCCAGAGAGGTGAACAGAGTAAGCCTGATTCCCCGTAAGGACTTTTCTGTTGACATCCACCCCTTGGCGCTCATGTGATCTTAAGCAGTAGCAAATTGCGTAAAACCTCTACTAAAACTAAAAAGCGCATGCATATGTGTCTTTGTGTGTTTGTAAAAAAATGAAACATGTGTCGCTGTCCCACTCACCACTTACTCAAGAAAGAAATTCACGGCCTCTATTTTCCAGGTGAGAATGCTGAGCGTGTGCAGCGATTCAAGCGCTGGTTCTGGTCGGTGGTTGAGAAAATGAACAACTATGAGAGGCAAGATCTGGTAAGTTGGCGGGGGTTTTTGTTGTTCTTTTTTTCCTGTTACCCTCTTTCCCCTCTTCTTTTTTTTGGGGGGGGGGGGAAACCTTCTTCTCCCCATTTTTTTCTTCCTTTTCCTACTTTTCCCGCTGCGGTAAATTTAGCCCGTGGGAGGGGGGTAGTGAGGTGTTGTTTCTCAGTAAACAGTTTTCTGCACTGATACCGGTGACTGTGGTGTAGCTGTTTTCTGCACTTCGTTGTCGCACGCAGGAGACCCCGAGTTCAGTTCCCGGGTGGGGAGAGAGTTTTTTTATTTGAGTATCTTGATCTTTCTGTAGGGACGTTGTATCCCTCTGCTCGGCCTCGGTTGGTACTCACGGGCAGGGTCAGAAGCCGGCTTCCTCAAAGATCTAAACTGTCTCAATGGGAGGTGTAAAAACAGTGGGGCTTTAAAAAGAAACTTTTAATTTCTTCATTGATGACTGATTTCGCTCAGTTTATTTTTAGTTGTTGTATTGCTCTCTCTTTCTTTCTCGTCCCCCTTCCTTCCTCACTCATATTTCTTGGTAGCTTAGCTTTTCTTGGTAGCTTAGCTGAACTGAAAGTTCTTTTTTTTTTTGTCTTTGTTTTATTTAGATGACTACCACTTATATATTATATATCCCGTAGACTCTGTCTCCTTCGATGACTTTAGCTTATCTCTGATTTTTCTGTACAGGTCAGTGAATGGTAGCATAAACTGAGGCTGATCTCTCTGCCTCTCTCTTTTACTCTCTGCACTGCATAGGTCATCTTTTTTTTTACATTGCCCCTACCCCATAAGTTGAGGTTAATCTGTGTGTGTGGGGTGGTTGGTGTTGGCGGATCTGGTACGATTTGCCCTTTGTTTCCTATCAAACATCTATTGTCCTTGTCTCTCCTTTTTTTTGTCAGCTACTCTCTTGTAACATCTGTAATCCTTAGTACTTATTTGACCCTGCCTTATTGTGTTGCAAGTGCAGTTAAAATTTTACCAAAACCAAATTAATCTTCTCTCTGCTATTCTATCTCTAAAATGGTATTACGTTGATGACTTCATCTTAACTTTGTAACAAACGCAGAGGCTGAGTTTAACCTTGATGACTTCATCTTAACTTTGTAACAACCGCAGAGGCTGAGTTTAACCTCTTTTCTTGTCTCTCTTTCGCTTGGCCCTATGTTGATCTAGTCAGGGATGCCACTTTTCCACTTTTTTCCGGTATTTCCAGTATTTTGGTCCTGATCCGCCATTCCATTATTGAGATCGAGATAGAATCTATAGTTAGAAAAAAAGAAGAAAAAACCCACCCACACACAACAACATGCGCCAAATATTCAGATAACAGAAAAATGAAAACTTCGCAAAAGTTCAAATAACAGGGAGAGAAAGAGAAAAAACCCGGAAGATTTGAGCTAATCTTAGCAAGTCAGGAAAACTCATATATTAGCGAGACCGTGGCGCGTGGATATTCAGCCTTTTAAAAAAAAGTTGAGTGGCATACCTGTCTAGTTCAAACTCTTTGCTTTTCTCTCTTTTTCTTGGCCCTATGCCCAATGTCGATGACTTAATTTAGTTTAATCTCTCTGCCTTTTCATCTTTTTTCTCTTGGCTGTATATCGATAAGTTAAACAAGTTTAAGTGGGTGGTTGTTGGGCACTCTGGTGTTGTTTGCTTTTTCTTTCCTATCAAACATCTATCGTCTTCATCTCCCCTCTTCCTTTTTTGTGTTTGTTACTCTCTTGTAACTCATCTAGTCTTCTGCACTGATATGACTTTATATTTTGTTGCAAGTGCCGTAAAACACTTACTATAACAATCTAGTTTAATCTGTTTAATCTTTCTGCATTTCTCTCTTTCTCCTGGCCTTATGTTGATTTGATGACTTATTACTTAACTTTATTTAAACCCCCCCTCCCTCCCTCAGGTTTACTTCTGGACATCCAGCCCCGCCCTCCCAGCCAGCGAGGAGGGCTTCCAGCCCATGCCCAGCATCAACATCCGGCCGGCGGAGGACGACCACCTGCCCACGGCCAACACGTGCATCTCCCGGCTGTACATCCCGCTCTACTCCACCAAGGCCATTCTCAAGACCAAGCTGCTGCTCTCCATCAAGACCAAGGCCTTTGGCTTCGTCTAGGGAGGACAGACAGCCCGCCGTTGTTGCCACCACCGCCCTTCGTGGTCTTCTCGGCGCTGCTCTGGAGAATTGGAGGGCGTTGTAGGATTCAACGCTTTGGCCTTTGTTGTGGTGTTGAGACAATAAATTACGAACAATGCGCTACGGCTTTCGAGTATTCCAGAATTTTTTTTAGGCTCCACGCTTTTTTATATCATTCTGCTTCAAGACAAAAGTCTTTGAGTTTGTGGGTCGTGGGACACACTTTTAAGGACTCTCACTAGTTCCGGGATTTTCTGGAGTACCGTGCTGTCCACCCGGTCAAGACTAACGGTGGAGTTAACAGGACAGATGTCTTATAAGACTGTCCGCGATTCCGGAAATTTCTGGAATTTCAACTGGTCCATCCAGGTCAAAACTTTCAAGTTTGTCAAAGGACAAATATCTAAGACTTTGTCCAGGTTCCCCAAATTTCTGGAATTTCAACTTGCCGAGGTCGAAGCTGTAAATTTGTCTAAGACAAATATAATCTAAGAACGAGTAGTTGGATTCCAGATTTTTCTGGAATTCTGGCTGGTCAAGATGAGAGCCTTCAAGTTTGTCGTAAGACAAATGTGTAAGGTCTCTTACCGATTCCTCAAGTTTCTAGAATTCCAACTGTGCTCCACTCCAAGTGCGGGACCTACGAGTTTGGGGGGAGATGTTTCTCAGTGAATTGTTAGAGTTTAAATGGGGGGGGGGGGGTGTTAAATGGTGATTTTTCCGACATGATGTCAAGCTTTGGGCCTTGTGTATGTTCGACATCACTGTTTGCTTGTTCTGCTTTTTCCTTCTTCTCGTTTTCGTTGAAATTTGATATCTGACTAAATGTGTATGTGTTCCTTTGACAAGGGCCTGTATGTAGACAATTTTTAAAAATTGAGATAAAGGTAGTTTCATGTGGGTTTTTATATTCTGAATCGCATAAGTTTTTAAAAAGTGTTTCAGGTATTTTCAGTACTTATTGAGATATTGCCTGTTATGTAAGGAAAGGTACGAATATGTTTTTGAGGAAAAGTTTTAAAGTTAAATGACTTAATATTTTTCTAAAAAATAGCATAAGAATGGCCTTGCTCCTTCGATTCACCCTTATAATTTTTGTTTAATATGTTTAACTTTCAGAAGAAAAAAAAACATCAATAAATAATGCTGTCGATTATCAGAGTGTTTGTGGAAAAATAAAGTGATTTGAATGTGTGAGAAATAAGGTCTTACTTGGGGCTAACTTCGCTAGACGCCACTGTAACAAACCAAATTTTATAGTACTTGGAAATAAAAAGGTTGTAAATCCATTTGGAATATGATTCGTTAAACTGATTGATTTTCTGTTGGTACAACTACATATCTGACCTGTGATGTGATCACTCTTACATCTCTTTAGACCGTAGGCTGGAAATTGACTTTATTGCTTACGTATGGTCTCTTTTCTCAGGCACTTGCACATATGTGAGGCAGCGTGGTGGAATCAGGCTCTCGTCAAAATAATCAAAGTGAAGAAACTTGCATTTTTCGGCAGGTTAACTTTTATAAAATTTTGCTTTTTGGCTCAACACCGTTCATGTCCATTAAAGAACTCATTTCTGAGTGGATTTTTCTGAAAAATGTCTATTAAAGGCTCAAAAAATGTAAATTTTCAGTTACCGAAGACTCTTAAGCTAAGGAAATAACTAAACGTTGGCGGTCATTTCTCACTAACTTTACCTCTGAAAATGGGTGACCCCATCTCCTTCATTTGCAATTATCTCGACTTGTATTCAAGATAAATGGATATTTTTTTTCATCCATATAAAGACAAGTGACCAAGCTTTAAGATGATATCAATAACTCTTCATGCCCAAAAATTGACGAGAGCCTGATTAGACCACACTGCCTCACATATTGTCTCTTTACTGTTCACTCCAGGGGCAGCACCCCCTAGGTTTCTCGGTGTTTATGTGTATGTAATGGGTAAGCGGGGGGTGGTGAGGTTGTCGTAATCACAAGAAGTGACCAAAGCTGTCAGTTTTATACAGTAATGCACATGGCAGCTGACCTAAAAATGGTTGGGATTCTTTTTTATTTGGTTCTGATTTTTTGCGAAGTCGTTGGTGATAAATTTAATATGACTCGTTTGCCCGACTTGTGCTTTTGATTGAACTGAACAAGCCACACAAAAAAAGAGTCTTGAGTAACTCTGTTGTAATGTAGGCCTACATGTAGATTTTGTCGTGTGGGAGGGAAGGTACGCAGGTAACCTGCCGTAGCCACAGTGGTTCTGGTAGTGCCGTCGTCCGTACCGGGGACATGTTTGTGTAGGAGTAGAGCAGTTTTCGTTTGGACCTCACCGAAACAAAAGTTTCTGTTTGTTCCAACAATAGGCATCTACACATACATCTGTGTTGGGGTTAGTTTCTCGGCTTTAAGACATTATTTCCGAGTTAACAAATTTTAAGTGAGGGACGAATTTGGTCGGTCGCATCGTGGCTCCGGTCAAGAATCGGATGAAGGCTTGAGGAGAGCTTCTCTATGTGTTGTAGCGTTTGGTTTTATTCATAGCTTTCGTTTTAAAAATTAACACATTATTTGTTTAGCCCTCGTTTGTTGTGACGACACAGCTCCGTCAGTTGGTGGCGGGTGGCAGATTCCCAACTTGGATGCTTCTATTCTGTCGGTCGGTCCTGTGAGCCTCTATGTACTTTGTGAAGTCTGGCCATTTTATACATGCTTTTTAAACTTTTCTTCATAGGCCAAATATTAATTTTCTTATTTTGCCAGACTGGTGGATGCACTGATTTACCGTGAGATCTTTTGATGTTTTCTCTTGCCCTTTGGAATTGCGTTTCTTGTTCTCGAGTTTCTGCAGAAATGTATGATTACCCGAACTGTGTTATTTGTGGGACTGCCCATTGCCGTAGCCTCCAACACTCCTGTGAGAGGGGTGTGAAACGTCTACCGTTTGAGGTTTTCAGCAGAAATTGGTCTTTCACATGAGTTCTAAAGTCTTTGTGGGGGGGGGGGGAGCAATAGCTTATACCTTCTTGAATGTTCTACATGGTCGTGCAGACTAGCGAATGACAGCGGTGTAGAATTCTCCATGTTTGACAATTTTAACCATCCAATCGATTAATGTTAAAGAAGTACATTTCTTTGTGATAGTGGCCATCATAGCAAGCTTTTCTTGAAGCCCTTGCACTGTCTGCTGTGACTGAAATTCTCCATCAGTATGTGCCACAAGTAAACTTGTGTACGGCAAATTAGATGATGTGGGTGGTTGGCGGTTGTTCTGGCGTGGTTTGTTCCTTCTTTCTGAACATCTGTTGTAGTTATCTCTTCCTTTTCTCTCTTTTTTTTTTTTGTATGTTACTCTTTAGTAACACCTCTAATCTTCAGCACTTATATATATATGTGAACTATCCCTGTTGCAAATTATATAAAAACTGTTACTAAAACCAAATTTGTAGGTGAAATTTGAAAAAAATTGGGGGGGGGGGGGCCTAAATGAAATGGCACAATGGAGCCTGGGGAAAGTGCACTGTGTTATACAACCATGGTTGTGTCATATTGATTCGGTATCATTACGACATTACGAGAATGTAAGAATGGCTTGGTCCGTGTATGTGTGGAGCTCGTAGTGCCATTGAGTCATCACCAATGTTTGCAAGGATATATCAGTAAAACTGACAGTTACCATCCAGACAGAAAAAGGGTGTGGAATGACCTCAATAATAATATGATTATGTGGAATTTATGTATATATGTGAGTTGTCCCCCTTCACCTTAAGCGAAGAGTGTGGTGAGCATAGACCTGTGAGATTCATTCTTCAATTTTAATCATTGCTAATCTAACATTTCATCAAGGGTGTATGTCTGTAATAATGAACACAGATATGTACAGGTGCATTGTGTGATTATTTTTGTTATTATTATTATCATCATCATTATATGAGCTCCTCTTTGCTTTTGTCCAAAACCTTACAAGTTGTGTTGTTGTTGTTGTTGTGTTTTTTTTCTCCTGTTTTTTTTTGCCCCCTTCTTTTGTGCATTTTATTTTTGGCGAGAGTATCTTTCGCTGTAAAGGCCATACTTAGTTGTTTGGAAATTGTTGTGTTTCCCTCTGGTCTAGCCACTCGAGTCGAGACATTTGACATTCATTTTTTTTAAACAGATATTGTATTGTCAGCAGACAGATGATTGATCTAAAAAGAAGACTTTCTTTTTTTTTTTCTTTTTTTTTTTTCAATTGTTAGCGGACATGTGATTGATCTAAAAAGAGGACTTTCTTTTTGTTTCAGTTGTTAGCGGACAGATAATTGAATTAAAAAGAAGACGACATTCTTTTTTTGTTAGCGGACATGTGATTGATCTAATAAGAGGACTTTCTTTTTGTTTCAGTTGTTAGCGGACAGATGATTGAGTTAAAAAGAAGATGACATTCTTTTTGTATCAAACATTTATTTTGCATGAATTGATGGTGATTCTATACAAATATGCACTGGTCAAGGGCATAATGGAGTTTTTATCTCCTTCCAAATTCTTGGAGATCTGGTCTTCAACACTGATGCATTTCCTTGTGTGTGTTTGTGTAAGCGTTAATTTGCTCGAAACCGGTACCGTATACCTAGATATCAAGTCATGCATCATCTTCACAGTGTATTGTTTGTGTGTGTGTGTGTGTGTGCGTGTGTGTGTGTGTGTGTGTGTGTGTGTGATGTGTTGTGTTTTTAGATTCCTATTTGTTCCCAGTGTGGGTAGAAGGATGGCATTTAGCTGTGTATTGTCACTGTGTATTATTATGTGTGTGTGTGTATGTGCGTGTGAAAGTGAGAGGACGACTTCTTTGATGGACTGCACATGTGTTGTGTATGTTTGCGTGCAAAATAATGACACCATAGCTGTGAGTGTGTTGAGAGAGAATATGGTTTTTTGTTTGGTTTTTTGTTTTAATTCTGCTGTGTAGTGTGTGGGTGGCTAAAATGTAAATGTTTTGTGCTTGTACGTTGATAAAGAGTTGAGGCATCGCAACTTGCGTGTACAATAGTGTATGTTTATGTGTGTGTACAACAGTGTATGTTTGTGCATGTGTGATGAATGATGAGGACATTTTTTCATGTTTGGCCGGAATTGGATCAGTTTGGTTTTATTTTTATGCTAGAAAAAGAAATCTCTGTGGCATTGCTTGAACATGTCAGCGATTTATTGTGGAGATTCTGTGTGTGTGTTGAATTATTTTGTTTAGTGTCCCGCGTCACCTCGGTAGGATTAGGGCAACTGTGTGATTGATGTCTGCACACATTCTGTGTATCACTAGGCACTGTGTCATACTAGAATTTGAGGAATCTAAGTCTTAAGAGAGATTATGGGCGTTAAATGAAAAGAAAAAAAAACCCAGCAATGGACTGAACGATTGTGTGTAAGTGTAAGAGAAAGTCACCTCAGGGTATGTTCAGTGCTGCTCAGATGTTTCTCTGCTCCATTTCGCAGACGTAGAAAAGGTTTTAATGTGTAAGATGAAAGGCACACAAAGGGATAAAGAAGTACCGAGAGAGACAAGACCACTATTTTTTTAATGTTGGGCGAGGAGAAGTTTCCTATTGGGCCCTTCCCCGGTGTAAGAAAATATTTGCCTTACAATGGGGAAGAGTCCGATTTTTAAGAAAAACTGGTTTACTAAGAGCCTAGTATAATTTAATTATTTTAAGGGCTCAGTAACCCAGTTATTTGTCTGGAAGTTGGTCGGTTCGAAGGTGTTTTCTTATTAGTAGATACATTCTGTGACTTTGTGCGAGGTAGTAAACACCCCCC